ATATTCTAATTAATGTAAAGTTAAGTGGACATAATACAATTAAGAGCTATTTGGGTTGAGAGAAAGTGAAGAAAAAAGAGGAATAGTTAAATCTTGGGGAACAACATTAATTGTGATAGGTATAGAACAACAACTAAGGTCTTGTTGGACAACAAAATCTTTTTAAAATATAAAAAACGAAACCATTTAGTGAGTGGTGAATAAGTAATTATTTCACATTCACATATCTATCAAACATATATGTCAGAGAAACTTTCTTATCAAAACACTGCTCATTCACAAGGTTTTTGAAAAAATGGAAAAATACCAAAATATAGCTGGCCACTGCTAATTCTTTTTTCATAGTTTATCTGAATTGAGGCTTGAGACAAGACTGGATTTCTGGTTCTTTGAAGAAAATCTACATTTCAAGGTGCAGTAACTCCTTTCCAAAGTATCCCAATGCAAGATGCACTACATTTCTAAGCGATTACACAACTGGGTCTTAGCCAAATATCGAAGAACTTCCACGTCCTGAGGCAGTAATCTTGAAATGCACATCCTGGAAAAACTAATTACTATTATACATGTTGTGGTTGTAAAAACTAAAAAAAAAAAAAAAGGCAAAAGTTCACATGTATAGACTTACTTGGATTAATGAATAGTTCTGACCCCACTGGCCACCAGTCAGGAAGAACCAAATGTTCAGCATCTATAACAACCACATAATTTACATAACAATGACATAAATATCATAAACTGCTGTTGAATGAGGAAATGTGTTGACATGTCTCATAAAGTCTGTAAGCCACAATGAATATCTTCAAAAATTATTCATATTGTCTTGCTTAACCAAGCTCTGAATCTCATGCACTTGATATTTAAAGACAAAATTCAAATGCAATATAAATCCCAAACATAAGTTGTTTCTGTGGTGAGAGGAGATATAAAATTTACAAAATGCCCAGGTTTTCTTCCTTTCTTTAAAGTTAATGGGTATTCTCTCTAAATGTGTTAGGTCTGTAAAGATGTAAAATAGAAACTTTTATCCATATATACATGATTTTAGTTAAGCTAGTAGTAAATGATGAGAAAGGCCAAACATAGAATTCCATTTTACATGTATGTTTCACATTATGTCTGGTTGGAAGTCATAAACAGTAAGCATTTTCTTACATGTCCACCTAGATATAGGTGTATGTAAGGGAAAACATTCTTTCATGCAAGAATGGGAAAGCCTAATTTTTTTCCAATTACAGTTTACATTTAATATTATTTTGTATTAGTTTCAGTTGTACAACATAGTGGTTAGACAATCATATGCTTTACTAATTCTTCCCCTGATATTTCCAGTACCCATCTGACACCAGGCATAGTTATTACAATGTTATTGAGTGTATGTCTTATGCTGTTCTTTACATCCCAGTGACTATTTTGTAACTACCAAGCCCCAACTCCCCTCCCCTCTGGCAGCAATCAGTCTGTTCTCTGTATCTGTGAGTTGGTTTCTGTTTTGTTGGTTCACTCAGATTGTTCTTTAGATTCCTCATATGAGTGAAATCATATGGTATTTGTCTTTCTCTGAATGACTTAACTCACTAGGTCCTCTATGTTTTGTTGGTTCACTCATATTGTTCTTTAGATTCCTCATATGAGTGAAATCATATGGTATTTGTCTTTCTCTGAATGACTTAACTCACTAGGTCCATCTATGTTGTCAAAATGTGGAATTATTTAAAATTTGTATTTACATTAGGCTGGAGGGGTCATAAGAAAGGGACAAAGTCTGTTTTGCTCACTTGTGAATTAATACCTGGCCCTATCCTTGCCTAGGAGTCATTTAAATATTGTTTTACCAAGAAATAAATAAACAAATGGATCCTGCATCAGAATGACTTATTTCAAAAGATATTTATAAGCCCCATCACCTTGAAAATGACTTACAAATATGAAACCAAATGTAAATTAAAACAATTTTTATAAAAGTAACAATAGCATATGTAATGTAAAATAGTGTTTTATTATTTAAAAACAGTTAATCATTCAAGATAAAATACTCAAAAATAAACTGAATCTCATAATTACAACATTGGGTGAAAAATAAATACATTGTGATATCTGTCTTGTAAAATGTAGAGCATGCAAACAACTCTACTTATTATTGAGAGAGACACATATGCAAAAAATTAAGAAACGCATGGTAATGATAAATATCAAATTGAGGAGAGTGTATAACTTTATAGGGACATAAGGGGATTACAATTAGCAAAAGGCACATGAGGAATTTTTACTGAGGGAGTAATGTTGCCTTTAGAAAAGCTAGTTGTGGATACATAGTTTGTTCATTAGAGTATTCTTGACACATTTTTGTTTGTCTGAAATAATTCCAAAATAATAAAAATTAACACATAAAACATATTGCCTACAATCCAAGAAGAGCTGTAAACTATGTCCATGTTTTTCCTTTGCTACCTACACCAGGCTCTTTAGTGTTTCAAGGGAGGTATAATCCTCCTGATGATTAGGTTGCTTGCTTCTCCATGTTTTGCCTCTTTCTGCTGTTGCACTGAATCATGACTGGTGTTACAGAAAAGAAATATTAGGCTGTAATTATCTAATATCACCTATTTTTCCAATCTATAATAGCTAAAAATAAAGTAAAATTAGGAACATGGCTAAACTTCTTTCATCTATGTATCCAAAATAATGATCCTTAGAAAAGCACTAGGATTTTTTAGTCTAAATAAAATTTCTTCCACTCATGGATACATATATGTTTCTCTAACTCCTAATATTCAAGTCCTGAAGAATGTGTGAAGAGGAAAACACCCTTGCAAAATTGTTGGCACTGAGATTAAAAGTGCCAATAAAAACTGAATTGTGATTCATTCTTTTATGGCCCTGGGAGGGTTTAGTGTGATATTACAAAAATCACATGCTGAAAAGTCTAAAATGAAACTTAGAGATAAACACTCTCACTTTACAGAAAAAAAAAATACACATATCTATGTAGTTCTGAATTTGTACCAGAACTCACATTTTTCAAAGTCTGGTCTGTAAGGAAAAGAAAGAAATGCCAGACACAAGAGAAAATATGCAGATTATAAGAAACTGAAAATAAAAATCAAAAATGCTTTGTATTTTGTTTGTTTTAATCAGCACAATTGAACTGTAATACCTGGGAACAAACACTTGGGTGATAAGACCAATAAAGATTCAAAAAAGTGATTGCTAAAAAAATTTAAAGAAAGAAGAAGCCTAAAACTTTCAGTAAATGTGACTTCCTTTCCCACATTTGATTATTAATTCTTTAAACAGTAAATTTCTACAAAAGAAACAAGAATGCAAGAATAGGTTAAAATAGGTTTACGCAGTTTCCAAGTGGTTGGGATTTAGCATCCGAGCATTTACAAAAGTAGGAAAGAGTTGTACAGCAGCAGGATTTTTGGTGGATTTTGAAGGAATTCTTTAAATGCCCTGTGACACAGGGAAGAATCAAAGGTTACATTTACTTCAGTCATAACTTTTAGTGATTAGAAGAGCAGTGAAGTCACAGAGGATAATTTAAAGCAGAGTAAGGACCAGGCAGCAGATAAACTGACCTCTACCAGTAACAGAAGTGGAATTGAGATTTAGGTTTCTGAAATGCAACCGCTGTATATTTCAATTCCAAATATTTTAAATGGACGATTGTATCCCCACTCAGTTGTGTTATCTAAAAAACATGACAATCAATGTGAACTGTAATCTTTATCAGTGCTCATATTTAGTAGCTCACCTTTCCTTCCATAATAGTTGATATGATAATTTAACTAAAGATAAACATATGTACCTAGTCAGATTCTCTAATAATCTGTTTTAAATTCTAAATTCAAATGAATATATTATCCCATATGTTTGATAAAAAAACTTTGCCAATAAAATTTTATATTTAAAAGAACATATAAGCATACTAACACTAATACGCATGTTTACTTTTGTATATTAATATAATCCATTTAGTTTCCACTTTAATAACTTATTTAAAATGAAAATACCAAGTAGAAAGGATTATACAATGTTACATAAAAACTACATATACACAAATAGAATGTGTATTTTTTACTGAAGAATAAATATGCGTATACATTTATGTGATCCCTATCCCTCTGCATCCTATGTTTATGCCTGTGTGTGTGTGTGTGTGTGTGTGTGTGTGTGTGTGTGTTTGGGTTTTTTTGGGGGGTTTTATGCCCATATTTTCTTTTCTTTTTTTAATTCTTTATTGTTTAAAGTATTACATGAGGCTCCTGATGAACAAAAACAAAACAAGAGACATAGAAGCATTGAACAGACTGTACAACCTATGAGGGAGGATGGGGGGTAAGGGGGTAAGAGATCAACCAAAGGACTTGTATGTATGCATATGAGCAAAACCAATGGACACAGCCAGTAGTGGGGTGAGGGCTTGTGCTTGGGGGAGGGGATGGTGGGGGAGAGGTCAATGGGGGGAAAACAGAGACTCATGTAATACTTTAAACGATTTTATGCCTGTTTGACAGTCTTGGTGTGCGCAAGCAACATGCATTACAAATGGGAAGATTGTATTTCCCTGGTGAGAAAATAAAAATCATTTTAAGTATATACTTATCACCTCTCTACAGCAGAAGCAGTTTAGAAATACATTGGGTAAAGTTATAAAAGAGTGAATCAAGAGCCAAGATACTGGGTGGAAAGATGATGTAAATAAGAAGATGACATAACTTGAAGATGTGTTTCTATTTGTCAGTAATACAATAAACCATCATTCTAGTGAATACACAATCATTGGTTGTAATTATTTAAAAACAAATAAGCTTGTCCATGGGGCTTTAATTATCTTGATCTTTCCTGATAAAAAGGAAATACAATTTTCATCAGGGAAGTAGACACAGCTCTATGGCTAGGACAGCAATCCACCAATGTTCATTTCTAGGACCAAGTCCAGTTTCAAATGCTCTGGGTCGCTGCCCATTAAATATAAAAGAATTAAACCTTTCTAGGCCCAAGGTGGTGAAAGAAAAAGCAGGGTTCCAAAATCATTCTTTGCTTCTTTAAAAAAAACAATTTTAAAATACTACTAAAAGCAGATCATCATGTTAAATGTTACAATATCAAAAACTTCCTTTCCTCACACCCTGCCTCACTTCACTTCTAAAATGCCATCCTATGTGTTTTCAAATTCTATTCCTGGATTTTACATTATCTCTGCACTTCTGGATAATTATGGTATCGAGTACCCTAAATAGGCTATTGTGCTTCATTGCGCTACAATTATATTACAGAACCAATTAAACTATGTCAATGCAATTTTCCACATAAATGGTGTTGACAGCAACTGATACTGCTGCTCAGAGCCTGTAGAAATGGGCAAAGTCCCAGTTGGGATATTAATTTTCCTGTTGCTAAAATGAATCAGCTCATTTCCTTTTTTCTTCTTCATTTTTTTTAGCTACCTATTTTCTACCTTCTGTTTAGAATTCACTAGTCTTGAACCATGACTTTAACAACCAGGTCTAGAAAAAAAGGACCCATTCTAATGAAATGACAATTTAGCTAAAGAACATCAACACATACACACTTAACTGTCCTCAACACTTTTCCTTATCTCAGAACTTACTTAAACTTCTATATAGTCTTCGTCCTTGGTTTTGTTTATTTATTTTAGATAAAATACATTATTATATCATCTATGCACGAGGAACAAAATTCAACAGGTAGCATATATTATTTCTGGTTAGTGTTTCGGAATTCTTAGAATATATTCACAGAAGTGGGATTGCTGGGTCAAACAGCAGTTCCATTTTTAATTTTTTGAGGAGACTCCATACGGTTTTCCATAGTGGCAGCACCAGTCTGCATTCCCACCAGCAGTGTACTAGGGTTCCCTTTTCTCCATATTCTCAGTAGCACTTGTTGTTTGTTGACTTATTGATGGTAGCCATTCTGGGGGGTGTGAGGTGTTGATACCTCATTGTGGCTTTCATTTGTATCTCTCTGATGGTTAGTGACATTGAGCATTTTTTCATGTCCCTTGGCCATCTGTATGTCCTCATTGGAGAAGTGTCTATTTAGGTTCTTTGCCTTTTTTTTTAATTGGACTGTTTGTCTTCCTTTTGTAGAAATGTGTTGAGTTCTTTGTATATTTTGGAAATTAACCCCTTGTCAGATGTATCACTGGTGAATATGTTCTCCTATATCATGGGTTTCCTTTTCATCTTGGTGATGGTTTCTTTTGCTGTGTACATTTTTTTTTTTATTTTGATGTAGTCCCATTTATTTTTTTCTTTATTTCTCTTGCCCTAAGAAAATGTATCAGTAAAAATTCTCACTGAGATGTCTGAGATTTTACTGCCTATGTTTTCTTCGAGGACTTTCAAGAATCCTGAAACACCAATCAGAAAGAATATGTGCACCCCTAAGTTCACAGCAGCATTATTTACAATAGCTAAGCTTTTTATTTTGATGTAGTCCCATTTATTTTTTTCTTTATTTCTCTTGCCCTAAGAAAATGTATCAGTAAAAATTCTCACTGAGATGTCTGAGATTTTACTGCCTATGTTTTCTTCGAGGACTTTCAAGAATCCTGAAACACCAATCAGAAAGAATATGTGCACCCCTAAGTTCACAGCAGCATTATTTACAATAGCTAAGATCTGCAAACAGCCCAAATGTCCATCAGTAGATGAGTGGATAAGAAAGCTGTGTTACCTTTATACAATGGAATACTATGTGGCTGTAAGACAGTATGCAGGGACCTGAAGACCATTATGCTAAGTGAAATAAACCGTCGGAGAAAGACAAATATCACATGATCTCACTTACATGTGAAATCTAATGAACAACATAAACTGATGAACAAAATAGGTCCAGAGACATGGAGACATGAACAGATGAACAAATCTCAGAAGTAAAAGGAGGGGAGAGATTAACGAAAGAATTTATATGCATACGTGCACGACCCAAGGATGGCCTGGGGTGGGATGAGGTCTT